CCCCCAAAAAAAATACACATCAGCTTTCAGTGTCAAATGTTTCCTGTGCAAAGAAACTGCTCACTGTCCCCACAGTCACAGTTAGAGAGATTATTTTGAGCTGATAATAAATCCACAGTGTCCACTGGCTCTGTCCTTTCTTTGACCACTGAATGATAATAAAAGGTCTCATCTTAGAGACCTTTTATTAATAGAATAACAATAATGCCATGATTCCAGTAATTTCTCTTCTTGGATTAATAAATAACTCTGTCCATGTGACCGTAAGTGCAACACCACAGGCACCAAGCACCAGAGAAATACAAAGATGAGAACGATAAATATTTAACAGACATATAAAACATTTTCAGTAAAGACTCAGAGTTAAGGTGGAGGTAAAAACTAATTTTATATTTTAAAACAGGTCCCCAAATATTTCAGTTTGAAACAAAGTGGGGGATTGACTGATTAACTTATTTTGCATTTAGGGTGGAAATGCTGCAATACTGTGATAGTAAATTTGTTTTTAGTTCCAAAATTGCTTCTTTTAAAATGACTGTGTGAAAGGAAAAAACTTGTCATGTTGATTTATTTGTCTTCTTTTACTCTGTTGTGAAAAGCAGAATCAAGAGCGACCACCACAAAGTCAACATCTACCACAGCCACAGGTAGGACATAGAGTACATTTAAATATCAATCCAGATCACTTCTTTTTTTCACACCACTTCTTAAAATGATCTTAAACATGTTTGTGGATTTATGCAGCAAAACCGCAGCAAAATACTTCCACTTCTACCACTTCTGTGAACTCACTGTCTAAGTCAGGTAACCGATGTGTTTTGTGTGACAATTGTTGACAGCACATTTAAATAGTTAGCGTCAGCCTTACAGTTAGTGCCACCTCTGTAGTCAAAACATGTGACGACTTTTGAGTGGTAAGATTGTTAGGTATGCATCAAAAATTCAGACATAAGCATAAACATTTGCTAAAATGTGCTTCTGAGCAGCTGAGCCATTAATTTAGCAATGTTTTTTTTCATCATAAATTTGTAACTTCCTGCAGGTAAAGAAAGAGCCTGTTCGTGTAAAAGCAGAGGAACTAAGTAGAGTGACAACAGTTTTTTTCTTTTTATGGCTAAAATTACAAAATATTTACTGAAGTAATTATGTCCTCAGAGTTAGCATCAGTTTTCCAGACGCACAGTGAACATGCTCACACAGTCAGGCACAGAAGTTACATTAACTTGATTTCTATTATAATTACGACTGTCTACTGTCTGGTCTCTACTGTTATTTTGTTCCTCTGAGGTACGGGGATTTCTAAAACTAAAATAACACAGAAAAAATAAATAAACCAACACATTTTTATCAGAGCAAAGCCTACATGATTTCTCTTATCTGTATAACAAAAGTTGTAATCATTAAATTCTCGTAGCTTAATTATTGTTCCTGTGACTGCCAACCAAGAAAACTAGAAGTACTGTTTTGAGTGTAACAACAAAAATAACCTCCAGAGGGACACAAAGACAAGAACTATTCAGCATCTCCAGACATTTGCACTCATATTATGTCTGCACTAAATTTACAACAATAAACAAAATATTAGAATTTGGAACAAAGCAGTGGATCGACTGAGTAACTAACAATACTGCTGGGAAAGAGATAGTTAGTCATTAATGTGATAAGACTTTTGATTATTAGTTCAAAATGACTTGATAACTCAATCCCACAATCACTATAAATAAAGTCTTTAACATTTTTTGCGTATTTATGCAGCAGAATCAAGTCTCATGACACCCAGGGCTTCCATTTCTACCAGTACTGTGGACGTATCATCAGGTAACTAAATTACTGAGGTTTTATGCATTGTAGCATTATTTAATCAGAATTTATTGATTTTTCTTTATTAATGCAATCCTCCTCAAAGCAGAGACATAGAGCTTTGGTGTAATATATTGTTTTGTTTAGTTTTTAAATATGCTTTCATTCTAAACATTGTAGAAGAAGTCTCAAGAAAAACAAACACAAAATCATCATTTACCTTGACCACAGGTACGACATACAATTCACGTGAATATTAACTCTGATCATCACACATCACTTCTTAAATCTTAGATCTTAAACATTTCTGGTGCTTTTACAGCAGAATCGAGTCTCAGCAGTTTCAGTGCTTCCACTTCTCCCACTTCTGTCATCTCACCATCAGGTAATTAAATTACTGATGTATTATTTGTGACAATAGTTAATAAGAAATCAGAGCAGACATTAATCTCTTTTTCAGTTAGAGATGAGATGTGTTTGTGGTTTCCTAAACAGGAACGGGGACACTGACTGTTGTGCTGGTCGTTGTTGGTTCTGGTGTAACTGTGGGTGCCATCTTATTGGTACTGGCAGTTTTCAGATCTAAAAGAAGAACTGGTGAGATCTCAATCAGTTATTATGTAAAATCATGCAGATGTATATGATAGTTAGAGTGTAATATTAACATTTCACACTCAGTGGATACCGACTACAGTGTCTTCTTCTTAAAAGCAGTTTTGTAGTCAGATTTGTTGTTAAAGGCTCTTCTGTTTCACAGACGTCTCACTGAATCAGAGCTTGTCAGTTTGTAATTAACGGCTGTAAAGCTGATCTGACCCCAGCAGACTAACTGTCACTTCTTTATTGCTGTTTATTCCAGAAGGATATTCTCTAAAGAGGCAAGAAACCTGTTTTCAGCAAGTATTTTTTTGTTATCACTTGTATAGACGGAAGTTAAACTTACTGACTTTAGATTTTCTTATTCTGCAACTAAACAGAATTGTTGGAAGAGTTGTGGATTAAATGCTTTGCTCAGGGGCAGCGGGGCACTTCAGGGCAGAAAGTCCATTCACTTTCCTGTATCAAAAAACAGTCTTTAAAGTAGTAACCAAACAGAGTAATATGATGGATCTATGGAGAATATTCAGCATTTATATGATTTTTGTTTAATTTTTAATTAATTTTCCTTTTTTATGTTTAGGACAAGAACCAGCATCCAAGGTACTGAATTCATTCAGTTGCAACATCAATGTGTTGTTGATTTATACAATATCAGGACAGTATTTATACACTTGTTAACTGAGCTTTATTATTTACCTACTGCTGCAGATGACTTTGTGTGCATGACAAATATTGACCCTGGAAGAATGGTAAATAAACTAAAATGTTTGTCAAATTCTACACTAATATAACAAAACATTCAAAAATTGAAATGCAAGAGGTTTAAGGGTAGGTTAACTTTAATGTATCATTAATGGATTTTCTCATTTAATGTCCTCTTTCCTGCTGCATAAAGTTACCTGAAGGTGATGATGGAGCCTACAGTGTGATCACTTCAATACCCGGTGTCAGCTGTGCTACCGGTGAACTTTATTTATTTATGTATTTATTTATTTTTATTTTCCTTTTTGTTTTACACCTACTTAAACACTGTAGTACAGGGTGGAAGACAAATTTCAATATTGTAATTATATTATTGTACCACAGCTGTGGTAACATCTTTTATGTGGGGGCAGGGGTTTTGAAGGGATGACATAAAATGTGACAGCTGGGGGGTACCTCAACAGCAATATGAAAATAGATATTTATATAAATGTTGTAAATTGTATATGGTTATGGATGTTTGTGAAACGTGTGTTTGAAAAGTAAATATGGCAGCACTTTATCTACAAAGACCTTGTAACATAACACACAACTACACAGTTTTTAATTATACTTGTGGACATCCACCAGGGGGTGCTGCAGGACCCTCAGTGTCCCTAATCCCTGCAGTCCTGGCAGCTTTAAAGAAATTGCTCAATAGATTCCTCATTTTATCTGCAGGTTTAGTTGTTTAGTTGTTGTGTTTCTTTCAAAGTATCACAAAGTGAATACTATATCATATAAAGCACCCATAAAAAAGCAAATCTTTCAGTTACATTGTAGCTTTTATCTGCTGCATGAAAAACACCAACAAAAGATCCCAATGTTTCAGGTCCTCTTAAAGAAAAAAAAAATAGGAACAGGAACATGCAGTGTTGGTCAAGTTACTTGAAAAAAGTAACCAGTAACTAATTACTGATTACTTCCCCAAAAAGTAATCCCGTTACTTTACTGATTACTTATTTTCAAAAGTAATTAATTACTTAGTTACTTAGTTACTTTTTAAAAACACGATTTACAATCTGAAGAGGTGATAAAGCGATAGATCTTTCAGCCCAATTCTACTTTTTCTACATAATCCATCATACAAAATGTAATCAAATGGAAAAGTCTCTTTTTTTTAACTTGTTTTATCAGTTTTAATCTTTTAACTTTATGCATCAAGCAAAAATTTAATTATATGCAATGTTCTCTGACTTGAATAAATTAGTTTAACATTTAAACCTATTTTCTGCACATTCCAGCACATAAAAAAAAAAAAAAATTGTGTTTACACTCACTCTTTCAAATAGATGCAAGTAAAACACAGCAGAAAATAAATAAAGTCAAAGACTCAGCGGTCCTGTTGCTCTATTTTCACCTGTAAAGCAGGACTGCGGTAGGCGGAGGTTTACCCTGGTGCAGGTGTGCCGCGGTCAGTTGAAGAATCCGCGACTTTCTCTGTGAGTTTCCCATTACGTCGTTGCGCACTCGGTGCTTGCTCGGAAGTTTAGGGTTTTTTTTGCTGTAAAAAGAAGTTTTCTTCCCAGGCACAATGGACGCTAATGTTTTTGTCACTTTTTATGGAATCAAACTCAAAGTAAGGTCAGTACTTCCACGCTTTAAACGCTGCACGCTCATACTCTCTCCCACAATCGATATGTGATCCATTGTTGATCTGCACACAGCTGTTTTCACTAACGGCGCACTCGCTTACATCACTGTCGTGAGACATTCTCGCAAAAAATCACGGTTTTAGTAACGCAGTAACGCAGCGTTCCTACGGGAAAGTAACGGTAATCTAATTACCGTTTTTGCAATAGTAATCCCTTACTTTACTCGTTACTTGAAAAAAGTAATCAGATTTCTGCCCATCTCTGGGAACATGTGGTGTATGCCCTTCAGTACATGGGGAAGTACACCAGGTCATATTTGTGCAGGAATAGAACAAAACTGTATTACTTCAGTTCTTCTTGCACTTTGTATCTGTCTAAAACAGCAGTTTTAGGTTGTGATTCTCTTAATTGCAGGTGCTGAGAAACTGAACAAACAAGAAAGGAAAGAGCAAGATGTAAGTGAGACAAAGTTTCAGTAATTAAGATGTTTGTTATCTGGCTTTGAAGATGTTATAGATGTAAATGACTCTTACAGCTGTGTTCTTTCTTTTCTAGTTTGATATTTATCATCCATACGCCACCATCGCTGAGAAACCAGCTGCACCAGTCTCACAGGACATGACCTACAGCATGCTGCAGGCACATTGATGATGCTTATTATTTTATTTTCAGTAATGTAAATACCTACTGTCACTCTGTCAGTACTGGAAATGTTTTCTGTTCCTTGAAGAAACTGGAACCTGCGGAAGCTGCAAGTTAAGATTGTAACCGTGTTTTTGTTCTAATCAATGTTAGCACAACATTTTGAAATTGGATATTTTAAAGTATTGTAAGACATTAAACACAGTGACATAGTTATATCACAAACACATGATACTGTATCATGTATGGATACGATAAACACAACCAAAGATCCCAGAGGGACTAAAAGAGAAGTAATGCACATTATGTCATTGCATAACCAGTTCACTTAATCAAAATAGACTGGTAATGGCGCTGCAATGTTTACTTCAATTCCACCCAGTTTTATTTATATAGCACAAAAGCACAACAACAGTTGCCTCAATATTATCACTGTTACGTCAGAGCATGAGGGTCCTGGAATCCAAACCACCAGCCAGCTGGGCTTTTCTGTGTGGAGTTTGGATGTTCTCACTGTGCTGGGTCGGTTCTCTTCAGGCTTCCTTCCATACTTCAAAGGCATGTTTGGTGTTAGGTTAACTGGGGGTTAACTCAAAACTGGTCACACTGCATGAAGAATTTCCTGTCTTTATGTTTTAGGTCCCCATTCATATAGACACTGTAGTCATTATATTTCTGCCTGGTTAATGTCAAATTCCCATCTGTGTTTGGCTCAAAATTTTTGCACAGCATTTTTCCTGAAACTATTTTTTTTGCATATAGTGTATCCAAGTAATGACCCTTTTCCACTTTTGTATTTTATTCTATTAAATATTTGTTAGACACTGGCAGGAGGCTGCTTTTGCATCTGGGTTAGGAACAGTAGGGGTTACTTTTTTGTTTTTGTTGCTTTTGCTTTGACCAGAGCTGAGGGCCTAAAGTGGCCGTAGCTGGGCTGTAACGGTGGAGACTTTCTCTTCAGTGGTTAGTGGTTGTCAGTGCAGCCCTGGTTTGAACTGCACTGTAGTAACAGTGTGTGTAAAACTGAGATGTACATTCGAGGTAAAGTAATTCCCTGGACCTCTGCTTACAGGAAAACCACAATACTGAACTGGGATTCAAACATGTGTGAATATTTTTAAAATGAATATTAGAAAAAAATAACTTCTTAAGGTCTTAATCAAGTATAACTGTGTGTTATTTGTACTGGTTTGAAATAAATATTCTCTTGGTTAAATTCCCATGATGCTGTCCCTGTTATTAAAGCTCTTGAGCTCTTTACTGCCACATGTTGCCACACAGACATCTGGGAAACTAAGCCCATGGCAACAGAAATGACACAGATGTACTCATGCTTGTCTTTATTTCACTTCCTTTCTTGTTCTTTGATCTAAATAAAACTCATAAGTAGTTTCAAAGGGCTGTTCATGTTCATTTGCTCCGCTGTGTAAAAGCGTTCATTGTTGCTGTGGTTTTCCTGTGAAGTTCCTTAAACTGGAACATCAGCCTTTACAAAGTCAGACTTTCACATGTGTTCTGCACAGTCA